ATATATAAAAAAAATTATTAAATTAATCTCAAAAAGTTAAATATATCATTAAATTTACTAAATATTTGTTACTGTAATTATAAATTTGAAAGAATATTATATATTTTTTCAATTGTCAGTGATTCGTCTAATATTTTAAAAATTTAAAAATATTTATATTTTTTTAAAATAAATTATTATCTTTATTTATCTATCGATACATATAAAATTAATAGTAATAATTATTTCACATAAGAATATATAAAAACGTAATAATATATAAAATATCTTTTTAATTTATAATGTATTATATAAATTATCATTTAATTTTTTACCAATTTTTTTTTTATTTTAGTCTTATGTTTTAAAATGTCAAGAGACTAATTTAATGAAAAATTCAATCTTTGATAGATTAATTTAGTGATAAGAGTACTTTGATGACAAGAGTGGTTTTAGAAATAATTTTTAAAAGATTAATTTGATGAACATTCTTTTAAAAGACTAATATGTTATGTGTAATTTTGGAAAACCAAATAAAATATTTATTCAATTATTATTTTTTTATAACTTTATCCCAAACAATTTTGTTTTTCTAAAAAATTATTGTAAGCAATACAAGAAAGATCCTCGGACTAAAGATTACCATCTCCCAATATATATAAAAGTGAGCCACAAAAAATTTTAAAAATATTTTTATAAATATATTTTAGCATCTGAATTTCAAACAATTGATTTTGGACATTATTTTTAATGCTGCTTATTTTAAATTTATTGGAATAAAATAAAAATTAAAATAGATCCTATAACGCATCATTTAGCACATAATTATTAGATACTTTCCAAGAAAAATAAATGACACATGGTGTCTAAAATGCAAAAAAATAATAATAATTAATTAATATTCTCAATTAGAAATATTTGTATGTTATATATCAGATGAATTATGTATATCTAATCCAAGCCACTCAGATATAATCTAGTACGTTCTAGCCTTCTTGCTCTATTCATTAATCAATATTAAAATGGAAAGCGTTGTAATGTACCAAAAAGAAAATAAAGATTGAAAGATATTGTGTGAACTTAATATAAGTGAATTAAAAATATTTGGTGGCTCCACTTTAATTTCAACTTAATTAACAAGTAAAAGCCACGAAAATAGTGCATATCGTGAAAAGTAAAAATAACTTATTCTAAAAGGGAATCGTTTATGCTGATTAAACATGTGTTGACGAGTCTTGTTAAGATTATCTGCAAATAAATTTGATTTTTCCTAAACGCAAATTTGAACCCAAAAAAAGAAAAAAAAAATCCTATAATTTAATGAAAATTATTTTACTGAAACAAACAGCATATGTAATGAGAACTGTTCTTTCAAATCTTTATAGTAGTAAGAATATCTTAAAGACACCTACCCACCCAAACAAAAAACAAAATAGAAAAACCCTCCTTAAACGTATAATACATACATTTTTTAAATATTATATTCTTGTTTCCTAATATCAATCATTGACTAGATAAATAAAGATGGACAAGCACAGTGAAGTCAAGTAAAGTCCAACTCGCAAAGTTACAATCACTTTTAGATGAATGGTTGTTCTTTTATCCAAATGCAAGGAATGGATTTGAAATTCAGATTTGTAGCCCCCATGAAATCCACAAAGAATCATTCTCGATAAATTATAAAAGCATAAGGAAACGTAATAAAATAAAATGAAAAATCATACAAAACCAGTTAACTATATGCATGCACGTGTTAGATTATTTCATGAAAATGTTTATATTTTAAATTTTTTTTTAGTTATTTTAAGCTCAAAATAAATGAATTCAACATCATTATCTTGTTAATTACGAAAAAAAAACACTATTATCTTGTAAGGGATTTTTTTTTCATACTTATTGACCATCGGTTTTTTTTTTTTTCAATGTTTCGAAGTTGCCTTCTATTTTTCCCCTCTTCATAAGCAACTTCTAAGAACTTACCAGAAATGTTTGTTTTGTTGGAAAGACTAAAGAAATAGCTGTCATCTTTTAACCTAGAAACGCAGATTGGACGCGCGCATGAGATAATACGATAACTTTATTTCTAGAAAAAGGATAATCAACACAACCATATCTGATATCAATCAATGCATGATTGTGCATTATTTATTTGCGCTGTAACCCCTCTTTCTAATGGATAAGACAAGACTATTTACGATCTGTTAATTGTTCGTTCATGTTCATATTTCCACGATATACTACATACTATTTAGAGAACTTATCATGGAGCAATCGTTGTTCGTATGATCATTTTTTATAATTCAACTTAATCAACTTTATATAAAACCTTTGAGTAAAAACTTTTCAATAATTTTTAATTTTTTTTCAAATAATGCATTTTTTAAGAGTTTTTTTTTCCTTATCATGGTAAGCAAATTAATATGAAATAAAAAAAATTAGAATAGTATAAAAATTATTTAATCCAAAATTTTAAAATATAAGTATAAAATATTAAAATCGTACCATACCTAAATATAACGTACATATAAAGTTCCTTTTGGTAATTTTAAAATAAATTTAAGAAAATTGCATTTCCTTTCAATTCAAAAAGTGAAGAATTGTATAACATTAAGTTAAAGTATTCTAATTAAGATTGTTATCTTTCATCACATAATATTTTTACATTTAATGTTTAATTTTTTATTTAACCTTAAAATTTTTATAATTTTAAAAAAAATTATTTTTTTATTTTATTTGATATAATAAAGTTTAATTATCATAATAAAGTGCATACTCTTTTAAAATTATTAAATTTTAAAAGTTGTGTAATATAATTTTACTTTTTATTCAAATTTTATTTTAATTTAATAATATTTGAATGTGAAAAAAAAGCTAATATAAAGTCAAAATATATATATGTGGATAGATTGTAGATTATGAGTTATAGAAAATTATAATGAAAGCAATGTTCGCATTAACTTTGTATGTATAATTTTTATGAATGAACTTTAATTTATAGTTATTTATAATCAAATAAAAAATTAAAATAAAATATTCACATAAATTACTAATTAGTTAAATAAATTAAATATTAATAACATTTTTAACAAAAATGAGGCTGGTTAATGCATTATTGATATATTTTTTTCAACCAAAATTTATGTTTGGATTTTGTTATATAAAACACTCGATCTAGTCACTAAGATGATTAACATCAACTAGTATTTTTAAATGTCTTAACAATTATTCATATTTTTTCTTTATAAATTAATTTAGTTATTACAGTCACATCACTGGTTAAGATACAATGTAGTAAAAATACTATAGTTACATATACAATTAAGAAAAGTTGGAATACAAATTACTTTTTTTTTGGTACGTGTGTAAATCTTATTTCTATTTATTTAAATAGTATTTTTGTATTTCATTTTTTATAAATTTTTTTCTTTTTATTTCAATCTTCTTCTCGTCGTATCCTTGCTTCATATCCTACCTACTGGGCTCATCTTATTTATCAGTCGCCAACTCATGTCAATCAAATATGAATTCAAGATCAATCAATCATTTTGCAAGCATTAAGATTCCACAGTCCTTTCATGTCCCACCTCCCAAAACTCCATAGTTTTGATAAATGATAGTTCCACCAAAATTTTGTCACATACACAATCTCGGTCAAAATATAAATTAATTTTTATATTAAATATTCATATTCAAATTTAATTTTTATAATTTATAATTTATATTTTATTTTTTATATAAATATTTTATTATATTTTTATCTTCAATGTTATAATACTTGAATTGTAAAAATATAATAAGATATTTATGTAAAAATTACTTGCATTTTTTAATTACAAAAACTAAATTGTAAATAAATATTAATTTAAAATAAAATACATATTTTAAAAATTAATATTTTTAACATTTTTTCAAAATAATTAAGAATAATATACCACATAAAAATTGTAAATTTTAAAATGACTAAAAAATATATATTCAAGTTAAAATTTATTATTTATCATAAAAGATCATAATATTTATACACATAATTTTTTATTGATTTAGCAAATAGATATATTCATAAACAGATATATTATCATTGAAACAAAATTACATATGTATACATATTTTATAACAAATAAAAAAGTACTACACAGATCAATTCCGAAGTTTTGAGTTGATCTTGTAAAAATTGCTTATTTATATTATGGTAAAAAAAAAATAAGAATCATGAAATAAAGTTAACTCTTTATATTTAAGTGGTAACTTATATATATATATATATTGTTATTAATGTAGTTTTATATTTAAAATATAGTGAAGTTTTTTTATTAATGATAAAGTCTTCTTACAACGATTTTATAAAAATTTATACATCATAAAAATATATTATATATGAATATAAAATAAATTAAAAATTTCACTAGTAAAAGATCAAATGTGTTATAAAAATAAAACTGATCTATAAAGTAATTTTTATATTTAAAAATACATGTTTTAATTAATATACAAGTATTTTATTATATTTTTTTTCTTTCATTATTAATGATATTATAACGTTATAAATTAAAATATAATAAAGTATTCATATTCTAGCTAAAATATTTATTTTATGAATATTAATTTGTTAATGAGCATTGGTTATAAAAAAGCATGAAATTATAGATTTTAATGAAGAGAAATTAAAAAGAAAAAAGGAAAAAAGAAGGGTGATAAATGATGGAGCTCATGCAACTACTGATAACTTGGTTTGTTTTATATTTAAAATGGAAGTGACACTTTTAGTTCTAAGAAACGTTAGTCTCCAAGTTAAAATGACAACAGACTATTAAGACAAAAGGTGGAGCAGAGATCGGGTTTCTTTCTTCGGTCTTGAAGCAGAACACGTGCATTTCTGGCCCATGAGTTACGGCCCAGAAAATTGAATTAAACGGTTGGGCCAAGATCCACAAGGGCATTTCCGTCAATGTTGAGAGAAATTCAAATTCAGCAAAAAAAGAAAAAGGGTTGAAGCAGAGCCCGCTCTGGCGCAAAATCAGGAAATGGAGAAGATCTGTGTCGCGGTTCGACTTCGCCCTCCAGTTTCCGAAGACTCTGTCGTCGGAACCTTCTGGAAGGTTGAAGATAACCGCATCTCTCTTCACAAGATCCATGGCACTCCACTCTCTTCCTCGTCTTACGCTTTCGGTACATCATCTTCATCCATTTCTCATGCATTTTTTTTTTTTTGAATTACTTTTCAAATTTTCACTGTTAATTTTCAGATCGTATATTCGACGAAAGTAGTAGCAATGCCAGTGTCTACCACCACCTCACCAACGATATCATTCATGCCGCGCTCGACGGCTTCAACGGTATTCAAATTCAAATTCTTTCGCTTTCTTGCATCTATGCATTGTTATTATTATTTTAATTATAATTATAAATGATACACTTAGTATTAGCTTAGCTCAAGTAGTAACTAACTAACTAACTAAACAGTGCTGAGTATTCAGATCTATGCATGCTTCAGTGGCATTACTTTTTAATCATATGTTTTGAGTGTTAAAATATTTTTCAAATTAAAAAGTACGTTAATCTTTAATTAATATTATTTGTAATTTCTAAATATAAATGTAAATATATTGAGATTGAGATTGTGTTATATGTTCAGGAACTGCATTTGCGTACGGGCAGACTAGTAGTGGGAAGACTTTCACCATGAACGGTTCCGAAACTGACCCGGGAGTGATTCCTCGGGCAGTTAGAGACATATTTACGAGAATTGAAACGGTGGGTGTAGTGCTGTAGTACGAGGTTGTTTTGGATTTTAAATGTTATGCTATGCGATTATTCATGCAATGTTGATGTTTGGTTCCATCACTTTGGTTGTTCAGATGTCTGATCGAGAGTTTCTAATACGAGTTTCGTACATGGAGATCTACAACGAAGAAATTAATGACCTTCTTGCAGTTGAAAATCAGAAATTGCAAATTCATGAGAGTTTGGAGGTTGTCTAGTTCCCACTTGATTTTATTTTATTTTTTGTTAAAATACACACACGTCTTGGTCTAATTTGTAAATGAATGTAAACTAATTTAAGTTAATTTGCAAATGAATGTCAACTAATTTAAGTTAATTTGTAAATGAATGTGAGTCAAATATGTATTTTAATCTTTTTTTTAATGGTTAATTTACGTGTATACAATGCAAGTACCAAGTATAGTATAAATGTGCTGATTTTCTTTTCTTTTTTTGCCAGCGTGGAGTATTTGTTGCAGGGCTGCGAGAGGAAATTGTAAATAATGCTGAACAGGTGTTGAATCTCATTAAAGCAGGGGAAGGTTTGTGCTTGTACATTCTTGTAATTTTCTCTGAAGTTTGAATTTACATTCTTGCTACATTTAAGTTTAAAATTGTTCTTTGATATTTTCAGTTAACAGGCACTTTGGTGAGACAAATATGAATGTAAGGAGTAGCAGGTCACATACAATATTTAGAATGGTAACCCTTAAACCTTTTATTTGCGATGCAAAATGTTTTAGAATGCATTTCCTTATTAACTTACTCCTAAATCATATGCTACAATCAAATACGCAGGTGATTGAAAGCAAAGGGAAGCATTCCAATTCTTCCAATGATTGTTCAATTAGTGATGTTGTTCGAGTTTCAGTCTTGGTTTGTATCCGTTCTTGCACCTTCCTTATAAGAAATTCTTACAAGTAATTTGCATGCTTATTATTTAGTTTGTGGAATTAGAATTTAGTAGATCTAGCTGGCTCTGAAAGGATTGCAAAGACTGGAGCTGATGGAGTACGTTTAAAAGAAGGAAAATATATTAACAAGAGCTTGATGGTTTTGGGAAACGTTATTAACAAATTAAGTGAGGGTTCGAAGCAAAGGTATGCTTTTTTTCAGCCTCTGCACAGTATCTTTTTAATTTTAAATTTAATGGCATTAGAAGATAACAATGTTCGACCCTTTCTGTTTTATGGCAGGGGGCATATCCCGTATCGTGACAGTAAATTAACTCGTATTCTGCAACCTGCTCTTGGTGGTAACGCTAAAACGTCCATTATTTGCACCATAGCACCAGAAGAGGTAGAGAATATGGTTTCGGCTTGGTGTTACACTTTTCACCAACATCTGATGACTAGTGTCATATTTTAAATGTAATATTCGTCAATCCTTTCAGATTCACGTTGAAGAAACAAAGGGAACTCTTCAGTTTGCGAGTAGAGCCAAACGCATCACAAATTGTGCTCAAGTGAATGAGGTACGAGTATTTTTCTGCACTTCAAGTTTATTATTTTGTTACCCTCGTTAATTTATTTTCTCACCTTACATGTTTCATATCGCTTGATTTTTTCTGTTATCTAAAGCGTTGGTACTTGGTTGGTGCGGGTTTTGTGGTTGAGGAGGCTCTCCTTAATTCTATTAGATGTGGAATGTTTACACTTTACAATGATCAGTTTCCTTCCACCATGTAGATCTTACAAGCATATTAGCTTTGAAGACAGTGATTTGTTTCCTTAAATCTGCATAAATTTGAAGAAATTCTATAACAATTTATACATACAAGTAAAACTGGCCCTATTCCTGTCACGATATATAGGCTGAATTGTTCTGTCGCCTAGTGTCAGATGATTTATTCGCCTGAATGGTCAATGTAACTAATCATCAGAGGAGAAAATATTGAACTTTGAATGTTGAAAATGAGAATCTTGTTACGCCGAGAGGTATGTAAATTTTATGAAAGAACAAGACTGAACTTCTCTCTAAATTTTACTCGTTTCTCTCAGGGAATAGTCAGCACTGGTTTTTCAATAATGAACCTTCAATTTCTCAAATGCTAGCTATATGCGCATATTGTTTCCTCCATTTCCAATGCCGGCACTTCATTTCTGGTACATATATTATTTGGCCAAACCAGTGTCTTGACACTAGGAGTTTTACAGATATTGACGGATTCAGCCTTGCTAAAGCGGCAACAGTTAGAGATAGAGGAGCTACGTAAGAAGCTTCAGGTAAATCATCTTCTGATGATAATTTTTACATTCAAATCGGAAAATCTTACATGATAATAACTTCCATTTAGGGATCCCATGCTGAGGTGCTCGAGCAAGAGATTCTTAAACTCAGGAACGATTTGCTCAAGGTAGGTTTTATCTTTCAAGTTTGCGTGCACTCTGCAGAGTTAGCCATTAAAATTCATTCCAAAGCATTAAAAAAACTCTATTTTATCTTTTTGTATTAATTATCTGTTCATATTTCACTGTATAGTATGAAATGGAGCGTGGGAAGCTTGAAATGGAACTGGAAGAGGAGAGGAAATCACGTGATCAATGGATTAGGGAGCAACGGATGAAAATTGAAAATTCCAATACTAAATCTTTATCAGACTGTGGGACGAATGACAGTCAGGTACTCCTCATAAAGGAATGATTCGAATGAAATAATATGGCTCGAAAAAATCCTGTTAAATGCTAACTAGTTCTCATATAATCGTAACCCTGTCCCTGTACAAAGAAATCAATTTTTTATTTATCTGCTCTATTTAGATTCTTATGTTAATTTGGATTCCATGACCACTTTTGCTCCTCTGGAACATTTCACAGTTTTCCTTTCTGTGCTGTTTTATTAGTCAACTTCATTTTCTTTCCCTTTCCTTTCTTGATATTTTTTCCTCCATTTTTTTGTTCCAATAATTCTACATGTAATATTAGGGACCGGGATTTTTGAGGCCCAGGTTGACAGAAGAATACAGTGACATTAATAGTGCATCTCAAGAGGATATTTTTAAATCTCCTTGTTTTAAAGCAGCTCCCAATTCTTTTGTTGCCAAGAGATCAAATTATTCATCATTGCCAGATTATAGCCCCCTTCCAGATGCTTTCAGCAATGTAGCTGATGAAGATATGTGGTTGAAAATGAATAATGGTTATGTTGCAGACCTTGATTCCCTTCAAACTACTCCCACTCGGCAAGTTCAGTCCTTCCCACCAAGTGATGCAACTGCTGTGAGTTCCTATTTATTAATTTTTTTTACTAAAGGAACTCTTTTTCTGTCTTACTCTAGCATTTCTATTGTTTCGCATCTATCCACATCTCCCCCAAAAGGGACAAATTTTAAAGTAAAGGAGCAGTGGTGCTATGCGCAGGTTGTCGTCCACAACTGAAGATACAAGATATAGAAGAGAGATTGGTCTCTAGACATACTTGGTGGAGATTATTATTTTTTTCTTCATTTGCTTGACGAATTTTGCAACATTTTCTCTATTGAACTAGTCTTGTTGGTTTCACCATTTTTGCCAGATGGTATTCAATTATTATAGACTTACCTTACCCTGATTATGTGTTTAGGTTTTATGAAATGAAAACTGGAATATGGTGTAAACCATTTTGTAATTTTGAATGTTCAATACCTTTAATAACAGTTTATGCCTCTGGCTTATGGCGTGGCTTTTAAGTAACGCCAGTCTTAATATCTTTTTTTTATATTAAGAAGTATATGATGCTTATTTTATACTTTTTACTTATTTTCATTATGTTTGTCAGTGTTGTACAGGTGAGATTGAGAAGTATGAACGAGAGGTTCAAGACTTGAGAAGACAATTGGAGCTTGCAAATGAAAGAATAAATGAACTCGAGGTCAGTATCTGCTATACTATTATCACTCTCACGTATGCTAAACTGAAATTTTAACAAGTATAAAATTGTCATTAACCCCGAAGATCATTCAAAAATATTTTTTTAAACTTTCTCTAAGAATAGAAATGGATCTTTGTCCAGTGTAAAGTTACTAATTACAATTATCATAATGAGAACTATACGTATGATATCTCATGTGCCGTCTTCTAGAATATTTTCAAATTGTCAATACTTTGAATCCATTTGGAACTGCTGATACAGAGATACAAAGCATCGTTTCTATAGAGTTGAACATACAAAAAATTCTACTATGTATTGCGTGTTACTTGCATTTTCCATTTGAGCTCCTTTTTGTTAAGTGTTCTCTGTATTGTGCATGATTCTATGTTGATGTATGTGAATCCAGCAAAATCATTCAGAGGAATTACCATCAAGCAAGCAATTAATGGGTGGGACACCTAAACATCAAGAAACACGACTAATTCATGAATTGCCTCTGAGGTCATCTGAATCTGTGGAGAACTTCAAAGATAGCTTTGAGGAGGTTTTGTCAGTAATGCAGGTTGAATGTGTGCACTATATCATATTCTTTCAATCTTTATTTGCTTTGATAATTTCAAAACAGTAAATTAATTTTCTCCGGTGTTCTAAACAGAGATTTGCATCTGGTGGCAAATTATCGACTGCGACGATGCTTTCAACCATGAGTGAAATTGGAGCACAGTTATTTGCAACTTTGGAAGCTCACTTTGCAACGAATGTGGGTAGTGAAAGGTCTTCCACCGGGAACTGTGCTTTAATCGGTGAACAACAAAAAGTGTTTCATGAGAGGATGAACAATATAATTGCATCACTGGAGTTATCTGAAAGCCCAACAACAGGAGAGGAGAGGATACATTTGTGCAGCTGTGAACACAAGGTAGTTGTCTGGTCACACATATCAAGATATCAATCATCAATCATGGTTTTATTCTGTGTCTTACTTTTAGGATATCTTGCCTCTTTTTTCAGAACTCTATTGCCATTGATATAATAGCAACTGAAGCCTTGACTGGCATTTGTCCAATAGCTGAAATTGAGCAAATGATTGAGAAATTATAGACATAATAGCTTTTCATGTGCTTATACTCTATAAAACAATAAATATTAGTGTTGACTCGTTTCCTTTCTTCTGGAATATGCTTGTAACATAAGGATTGTAAGAAATAAACTCTTATGAGATTTCTCTCATGGTCTCTTTGTAGCAAATACAGCATGCCCTTCAAATTAGACAAAAGGCTTAGTAACATTTTGGTTGATTGATTTTATGTTGTAAGTTATTTTCTTATAATAACCTTCAATGAAGGAACTGATATTTGGCTTCTTTTGAAAACATATGATTAGAGAAATTAGAAATAGCTTCTTCTGAAAAAATTATTAGAATGATTGCAAGATTTCAGCCCCTTCATGTTACATATAGGTCTCTGTAAGAGTCGACATGCTTTATTTTTTGCTAGCTTGTTATAACTTCACAGTACGTCGAAAGTGAACATATAGAGAGAGGGTAAAGCTGAAGAACTTTGGGTGGGAATATACAGTCAGGACAACCACTTGATAGAGTTAGAGAATTCTATTCATTTCTTTTTAGCTTTTTATAGAATCAAATGCCGTTGTGGAGAAAAGATTGAATTGTTGAGTGATTCAAAAGTCAGGCTGAAGGAATCTGCATGTAGATTGAAAGTCTAGAAGAATGATTCTCACTGGTGCATGCACAGATTTATGCACTCGGTTCTCAAAAGAGAAGCATGGGTAAAAATATAGAACTGCATTATAGCATAAAATATGAGACAAAGCATGGTAGGTAGGTTATTTTTTATTATCCTAAACTAAATTTTTGTGACAAAGGGCTCTGGTTTGGGAGGAGAAACCGCTTACTCAAAGGAGGATTTAAATGAAAGATGTGAAAGCCTGGAAAGGGAAGTACTACTTTTGAAGGACGAAAAAGACTCTTTGCTGCAGAAGTTCTTTGAATCATCCGAGAAACTAGCAATGGTTTCCAGCCAAAAGGAAAATGCCTTGAAAGATTTAAATACTGAAGTACATAGAAGGAAAAATCTAGAAGGAGAGGTTAAGCAGTTTACTGCAGCTTTTGCCAGTCGTCAGAAATCATTCATTTCCTTCCATAGTGACCTTAAGACCAAAATTGAGCAATTCAGAGCCCAGACTCCAATCTCAGTGCCAAAATCTCCTGGGTTACAGGATTAGATATGTTGTAAACCTTGAATGTCCTAGTCTTCAGTTGCTCATGTTTAAAATTATTTTAGAATTATTCATGTTGTTTTAGTTCTAGCCAAACCTAAACCATTCACTAGTTAAGTTTGTGCTTAATGTATATTTCACTATTTGGCAAGGACTATAAACACCCCAACAGATTTTTCGTTTCTCTTTTGATAATTAAACTATAAAATAATGAACTGAGTACAATAATTTATGGATTAAATGTTTATTTCAATTCTTTAAATTAAATTACAACTGTTGATTGTTTTAATTCTTAACTTGATAAAACTTTTCTTTTAATCTTTAATTTTTTTAAAAATATTCATTTTAATTTTAATTTTATTTTAAATTATTTTTATATAAAAATATTAAAATAAATATTTTGTTAAAGTCAAGGACTAGAATAAATTTTTTATAAAATTAAGAATTAAAATGACTGATATTTACAATTTGAAAGGCGGAACTCGTAATTTATCTCTAAAATGAAACGCTTGTGCAAAAATGTGATGAAACCTGTCTAATTTAACTGTATTCATTAATAAGACAAGGTAGATATGGGTGGATATGCCTTCTCTCTAAATGTGAAAACTGATCGTCGTTTATATCGATTTAGTCCAAAGTTGCTGAGTTGATTTAGCTGAAGCAAAGAAATTAATATCATGTTTCAATATTTTTTCAATAAAGTTGAGTTAGAAAACGCCACGTCAAAATGTGTAAGCTTTCATCACGTACTCTTATGCTCCTATTGATGTATTGTCAAATGCCCGTGACCGAGACACAAAGTAAGAGAAAAGGTTTGGGTTATGGTAGAGGAAAAGATCTTGGATTAGATTTAGATTTGCAGGCAGATAATACAAAATTAGTGGTTGCATCCATCTCGAAAGTTGATGCCATTTACTATATTGCATCGTCTTTGCCCTTTGGTCAATGTTCCACTTCTAATCAAACCAAATCCACTCGTACTCTTTTAACTTTTCCTTAAATATGAACTAAACCCACACAATTACGCTATTAAGATTTGAGTACTTTTTTTTTTCTGTTTTCCACATTCCACTTTCTCATCCCACCAGGACCACCTTGTTCTTTAACTAAAATGCCGTTTCCGTTGTTATTTTATTCTTTCCTGTCTGGGTTTCAATATAATAACTTCATAGATTTTCCATTGCATTTGCCATTACTTTAATACTTAGGTTATTATTTGAGAGCAATTTATCCTTCTCTCTCCTCAATTATGCGGGATTAGACCTGCAAAGATAGGAAAATTCCAAATCTGTAAATCTTGTTATTATCAACTCAGTAATTATCTTAATTAATAAATAAAAACTACTACATACTTTTTAAACTACAATATATTCAATATTCTTATTGTCGATTTGATGTACTTTTAACAATTAATCTTTCTAAATTGTATTTATTGACGGGATATCTACACCATAAAGTTCAGTTTTGTGTTTTTAAACGTTATCTTTCCTATTATAATCATTCAATTATATGCCATTCACAAACAAGAGATACCTGTGATATGTAATGCTTGCTTGTTTAAGCAAGTCTATCGCATAGGTGTTTATTTGAAGATAGATAATCATACTTCATAATTTTTTTAGAAACGTTAAATGCTTTTTGAAAGTGAATTTAAAAGAATATTTTGTATTATAACTAACTTTTTTAAATGGGAATGAATGTTGGAACTTCACGAAATAACGTATGAAATAATGAGAGTGAAAAGATGAGATTACAAGTATGTTTTATAACATGATTAGCTATTTTATATGTGGTTAGCGTACATGATAATATTAAAGTTAATAAATATGATTACATGAAAGATAAAAAATAATTGCATAGATAAAAATATCAGAATACAACACCTATAATAAAAAAAGACGTTTAAAATTGTCTAAGATAAGAGGAAGACTTAAAAGAAGTTATTAAAATAAATCTATTGATTAAATAATATTTATGAGAATTTAATTTTGATCAAATTTAATAGCGTCATGTAGTTTATGTAATCGATGTTATCTAAAAAAAAATTGTTATCATGCAAGTATGTTTTGTAAATATTTAACTTTTTTTAATAAATATTTTTAAATTTTATTTGGTGTTTTCAAAATCTCAAATACAATGTTAATGATAACTTTTTTTTAATTTAATAAACTCAGTTACACGTATAATTATGGTTTTTAAAAAATCAAATAAATGAAGAAAAATATAAAATATGAATAAAATTTAATGATCAATGCTGTGAATGGTTCCTTTTTAAAATCACAGCAAGGTCAAAATACTAAATTGCTAAAAAAATGATTTTTGTTGTAATTTTTTATTTTAATTTTTAAAATAGAGTGATTAGAACTAATTTTGAGAAATCTATTTTTTTAAACTTTTCTATTTAAAATAATTGATTGTCGATATTAGACCTATAAGATATTATATAATAAATTTACTTTATCATCCATACAAAATCTATTTTTCTAAACTTATTTTTAAAATATAGGAAATATCATTAGTGACTTAAAATGTTTTTTAAAACTTCAACCAAAACGTAATAATGTCCTATTGCTAAGTTTTTTTAAACAAATTTATAAGCCTTCAAAAAAATAACTGTTAATTTTATTTATTTATTTAAGAATGTTGTACATATTCGATGTGGGGCATGTTGCTAGTTGAACGTGACAGGGAAAATAAAATTTCAACAACCCTGATTGTACTGTTGACCAACAGCGAACCTTACACATCATGGTTCGTAAAACAACTGCCATGAAAGCGCTTCTTTTTTAGTAAGCATATATTAATTGTTTTTGAGAGGTAAAGCTTTTAAAGTAGTTTTGTCTCTTTTTAAGAATTAAATCCTAATTAATACATTTATGGAATTCACAAACACTATTTTTACACTGATACTAATTAACGAATTAACTTTAATACTAAAAAATTACTATTACTTTAAAATTTCATAATTTTCATCTATGAGCTCAAAATTTTGGTCATAGATTATAGATATGTAAAAATAATTTCAGACAAAAATATATACATATTCTTAATTTCGAAATGGACCCCACTGATTAATGGTGTATAGATTGTGGTCAGCCCATTATTTAACAGATTAATGACCAGTTATTATATATTTTTTTTCATAAAAATGCAGTGTGCAGAAATCATTTTCATTTGTAGATATTGGTAACAGTGGTGTTATCCAAATTGTATAAACTAAAAGTATGAGACCGACATTTACAAGTTCATGAAAGTTTGGAATTGTTAAAAAAAGACAGCCAGCAGTGAAATCCATATGTACTAAATAATTAATAGCATCAGACACATATCAATATTAGATTTTTTATGTTGTGTCCTTTAAATTTTATATTTTCATTGTGAAATTTGTTTACCAATACAGAAATTATAGCAAATAATAAACAATAATTTTTTAAATTGAGATCATTATCTATGACAAAAAGATGCTCTTCAAGCTTAAAGTAAAAACTTATAGCATAATTATAAGACTTGTGATGTGTGGAAATAAACATAGAACAGTAAAACACCAATAAATAAATAAATTCAATGCAGAAGAAATGAAAATATTGCATTGAAATATTAGAGATGCTAAACAAGATAGAATTCAGAATGAGTGCACCAGAAAAAAGGTTGAGATAATATTAATTATAGGAAAAAAAAAAAGAAAGATATACTATACCTTTTCCTAGTTTGAATATTGATTTGGTTGATCTTCGATAGGCCAAGCAGCAGTGGGCTCCTAAGCGGTTCCTCCAAGATGATGAATGAATTGACATTAGAATCTTCAGAGAGGAATGGTGGGGTAAATGCAAAAACACTTCAAGTCAATAATAATTTTAGCACAATAGAAGTGTATGAATAAGAGGAATCCAATAACACACTTTTTAATACAATTTTTAATATTTTTTTTATTAATTTAAATTTATTAAAAAATACATAAATTTTATTATTTTTAATAAATTTTAACTAATAATAAAAAATATTATTAGCCTTAGAATATGAATAAATATCAAGACACAAAAGCACACCCTCATGTGGTTACTATATCCCTCAAGTGGTAGAGGAAGAGGCGTGACATGCATGGAGTGTCGTGTGTTACAGATGAAGATGATATATCTCACTCGGTTACGGAGTGGGTCGTTTGAGGCTTTAGGAGTCTAACCATTAATTTATGTCTTTCTTGATTTAACCCAAAACAACTATGGATGGAGAAGATTGGTAAAGAGAAATGATATTCTTATAAAACCTGTTAACAACTTGCACAAAGTATGAAAAGATAAAACAACTTTTAACATGCATTTTTTTAATTAATAAAATAAATGATAACTTGGTTCTTTTTTTCTTTTGGGGGTCTTTTTATGTGAATTGATGTAAAAATTTTTTTTTTATAAAAATAACATATCTTAAAAGTCACAGTTGGGAGAACAAATCAAAGAAAAGGTAATTATTTAGAGGTAGAGGAGAGTAAAAAAGAATCGTAGGCAGACGTTTAAGGATTTAGAAAATAATAAACTTTCCATGAGCAAAATTACCAAAAAATACGATCCATGTAAGAAAAATAATTGGTTTTGTCATGACAGAAACTTCTGAAACGATAATGATTTTATTTTAACTTATGAAGATGTGTGTGTTTTTGTCATTTTGAGAATTTGTATTCATAAACTGCCAAAGCTTCCTTATATGGCTGCTTTCAGTATGTTAATGCTGTCTATCCTCATTTTAACTGCAACATCTTCTACACCTTACCAATCTACACGAATTTCGAACCCTTCGACATAGTCGCCTCAAATGGCTTCATCAACACCCAAAACACAAAAGAGGCTTTTAGATTTTCTAAATGAAAATCAAGAACCTTTCATCCTAGAGGCATACCTTTCAGAAAGAGAATATTATTCAAAAAGGTGGATCTTAAGAGGAGATTCAAGCAACAGTTCAAAGAAACCACCCACTTCTTGCTTAAACAAAAAGAAAAAGGCTCATTTTCCATTTTGCAAAGTTCTAAAAGCTCTATGTAACAAGCTTGCTTTCCACAGAGAAAGCAAAAATGTTCTTACCAAGGTTAATGACCAAAGAAATAAACATGCATGTGTCCCTCAACCCAACTGGGTCAATCATATTCTTCAGTTTTCATCAGCTAGCAACTCTACTATGTTCAATTCATGCTCAAATATTGATGAAGAGGGAACTTCCATAGTGTCTCATAAAGATCAACATTTGGTTTACTCTCACACTTTATGCAATATGGGACTACAGAGGTACGAACTCAAAATTCTTAAATATTTAATTAACCTCAAATCTTTATGCTAAAAAAAATATATCTTAATTGGTTTTGCTGCTTTTAGAAACAGTAGAAGAAAGCGGCAGAGAAGCATAAAGGGTAGCCCTAAAGCACTGGGAAAGATACCTCTACGCAGAGTTCCAAATGGTAAGTTTTCTTTGCCATTGTATTTATATTATAATAGGTTACATTCTTAATTACTAGCTGAAATTTGTAGAAAACTACCGATAAGGTGAAGTCGAACATGCATAAATTTTTTAATTTTAGCGAAGAATAGGGTGTGTTTGAAAAAGTGTGTTGCAAGCTTTTTTTTCATATTATAAACACAGGTTCAACATGGTTGTGTGAGGATGCATGCGTGATTTTCTTATTTCTTATGCTGATGGAACAGTGAACGAGAATGTTGGGGTAATGCAACAGAGAATAAAGAGTTGTGGGGTTATTCTGCCGAAGAAAATCACAGAGGAATCACTGTTATCAGCAGCTATATGGAGTAGTTTACTTGGTCAGTCAATGAAGAAAGGGAGGACTAAAGAGTTAAAAGAGCTTATTCCTGGGACTAATGATGTTTCCCAGATATTGAAATCTAAAAGGGTATTGCATAGGATAAAGAAGATGCTGTTTGATTGTGTGAAAGATATTGCGATAACCCTTCCAAAAGAAGGCGACAGAAAAAAAGGATACACACAATTCATGGGGCCTCTTGACCTTGGAAGGCTCGTTCGTCGACGACCGGGAGATGGAGCAAACCTTACCTACTTATTCACGGTGGATTACTTGAATTCAATCATGGATTGGAGTAATTTCGAACCACATGTGAAGGACATTAGCGCTGAGATCACCGATGCAATTTTAGATAACATCAATAGTGAAATTGTATTAGAAATGATTGGAACACTGACCCCAAATATATAAAATTTCTTCTTAATCCCTTGCTATCTTCCTCGATTTGAATCCTGAACATCCAAAACCCCTCCTTAATTCAAATTAAATATTTTAAAATTTTTCTGTCTTTTATTCTTATAAATTCTCTTAATTACTATATAAAGTATTAAATACTTTTAAAATAATAAATATATTTATTTTATTAAATAATAGAAGATTATAAAAAAGATAAGCAAGAAAATATGACAAATCTCTTTTAAATTTGGATTTTATAAACTAAAGGTCCCCTTAACTTTTAGTCTCAGATATCCACTTCGTAACAGCCTTTTTTTTTTCACGCTAGCAGATGATCGTTTTGCCCTCAATTATCGAATGCTAGTTATAAAACTAAATTTAATCCGTTAAATTCCCATGCCCGATTATATAGTAATATGTCTACCGTTATAAACATACTATCTGCCTTGATTTGGAACACATGATGAATTACCAATAACGTAAAAGAGATTACTTCAGATGCTCAAGTGCATAAAAAAATGTTTTACCTTTATCAAATATACAAAGTAAGAATCTATTTACCAGTTAATTTTAAGTTAATTATATTTACAAAATACAAGAACACAAATCAACAGGAAATAGATTCTTCCTTTCTCACTTTACACATTTTACTTTAAAAGAACTAAATCTGTTTTACTAATAATGTTATCAGAAGAAAAGCAATATATTTGCAGTATCTAATGATTCATCATTTATCAACAAATCATCCGCAAATGTTGAGCATACAAACAAAAGTTTATGATATTTAATTCAAATTCAATTTGCATATGCAGTATTATAGCACTTTTCGTACAAATTAAGTGGTCATAATTGTAAACTAAAACGATAACCAAAATATTTCTTTTTTTTTACATTTGACGATCCTAAATTCATGTGTCCAGAGAAGGTAAGTATCAGGAAGTGTACTTTAACAAAGTCAATATTCACCAAGACACAGATGTTCTTTATCTCACCACTGCAAAAAGGTTAGTTAGACCAGAACAGCACTAGATCTCTCCATCATCGCCGAGCTCTCCGTCTTCAAGTTCCTCATGCCCCCCAATTTTCCCTGAACCATCCCAGTGCTCCCTCTTGTGTCTTCTATGCCGACTTTCATTGTCTGATTCAGGAGAGTTTGCATGCTGCAAGAATATAGTCCCACACATTTCAGATGCCCATTCTAAAGTGTAAAAGCATATATTTAAGATTTTATTAATTAAAAATGGAAAAATATCCATACCTTCCTAGATTTTTTGCGTTCACTGCCATGCCTTCGTGATTTTTTAGATTCTTCCTTCTCGTCCTTCTCAGAATCCACATCCTCTATACTGCTCTGATGCCTTTTCCGATGTTTCCTTTCCTTATCCTTTTTCTTCTCCTCCTTGTAACCATGGCTGTCAGTAATGTCTTGATTATCACTATCTGTTTCATCCTTTTTATGACGTTCCTTAGACTTCTCCTTTTCACGTTCTCTATCCTTTTCTTTTTTCTCCTTCTCCTTCTCCTTCCGTTTCTCTTTCTCTTCTCTTTCTTTCTCCTTTTTGGCCTTCAAACAAATGTAAATTAAAATGTCATTCACAGGTCCTCCACATACAAGCCCAAAGTGCTAATTACAAGGCAACACTAACCTACCAATATTAATGTTGTATATCATTGCAGTTCCCCACTATGTTCAATTTGTTATAGAATAAGGTGAAAGGAACAAAATTTTAAAGCCATGATTGTCTAAAACTGCATCTTTTACTTTAAATTTTTGAAAAGTAGAAAATTGGAATAGAGTGAAAAAGTTGCATGGCATCATTGTCAGGGCCAACAGCCAAACAATAGTTACGATGATAAAAATCAACGACATAACTCACTAACAATAAATCAGAATATATTTAATTTCATCAATTCATAGCGAAACCCACATCTATAGGGAAACTAATATAACCATATCTTAATTAAAACTATGTAATGGAAATTTCATGAAACTAAAATTTGTCTTTCCCAAAGCAAGCTGAAGACGTCCAGTAAATGAGCCTCATCCAAATTTTGAACCATTACTGTGTGGATCATGTACTGTTAGGACCCAACCTAGTGAGGTTGGAACTTGGAAAGTGTACAGCTGTAGGAATAAAAAGCTCAATTGTCTTTCTCTTCTCCCTAGTAGTCTCTTCCTATATCAACCCTATTTTTTTCTCTTATCTTTCTGTTTGTTCAGTTCTTTAGATTTTCCAATTAAAAGTGGACTTACTCAAAATTTAATAACTCAAAAAAAAAAAAAAATGGAAATGTTATTGCTAGAACTGAAATACAAGAACAAGTGTTCGATGTTATACATAGGCCTAAGATATGGCAAGTTTACTCTAGAAGAAAGGATCAGTTGATAACACCAAAGGGATGGATAGTTAGTTAGTATGACAGTTGTAATAATTAGGAGTTATAAATAAATGTAAAACAAGTTGTTAGGGGATTGATTCATTATTCTCTTCCTTGATTTGTTAGAAAAAGGAGACTGTGTCTCTATGGAGAGCACATTGTTCTTGGAGTCTACAATATATATGTAACTGATTCGTCTCTTTAATATTTCAATAATAGAATTCAGTCTGTTTCTTTCAAGATTCCTCTCTTTTCTTATCAATTGGTTCCGTTGCTAGGAAACATGTCCACAAGAATGAATGAGTTAGTTGAAGTGTTGGAGCCTAGGGTTCACAATATCGACACAGTCATGGAAATTCTTCAGATTACCTGTTGCCACCAAGTCGATCGTCAGAATTCTTTTGAATAACAAATGCAGAAGATGCAGATTATGCAACAAGCTTTGTTGAGAGAAATTCAGAAGCTGAATGACAATAAAGGGGGGTGCGAGTCCAGAGGATGAGAGGTCGCAAAGAGGAAATTCTTAAATGGTGAATGGAGATGTGGAATTTCGTTTGTTTGTGAAGGTGGAACTTCCTTCTTTCAACGGAGTAAATCCAGCAGGGTTGATTTGCAGAGTGAAGACCTACTTTGGGGTTCATAAAACATCTGAAGCTGTAAGAGTGAAGCTTGCTAAGATTTGTATGGAAGGGAAAACTATTGATTGGTTCGATTTGTGGCATGCAGAGGACAATCCAACTTGGGAGAACCTCAAGCAAGCAATGATTGTTAGGTATGGAGTAGATTGTTTTCATAATCCATTTGAAGAATTGAAATTATTCAAGCAAAAAGATTCTGTGAAGGAATTTATTGAGGCATTTGAAGTATTAGCCTCTCATATTCCCAAATTGCATGAAAGTCAATATCTCAGATACTTTGTGGAAGGGTTGAAAGAAAAGATTCAATTGCAGGTACGAACCCTAGATCCCTTGACACAAAATCACTCGATGCGGCTTGCAAGAAGCACAGAGACAGAACTGATGAAGGGAATGACATTGAACTTTTCGCGTCATAAGAATACTTTCAATGCTAGTTACGAGGGATCTGAGTTCAAAAGAGATGCATCTACCATGTTTTTGTCAGAGTTTTGTCAACCAACACTTGTGGGCTTCAGCCCAAATTTTTGATCCTAGTTCATCTCTTGTGCCGTCATATGAGGTGGCCAAGAGTGACAGTGAGACCAGAAGTAATGGGGTTTGTAATAGAGGCGTAAAACATTTTTTGCATGCGAAAATGCTTGAGTGATGACGATTGGGGTTGTGCTTCTAGTGTGGTTAGGTTCAATCCTAAGCATGTGTCGTGATCGTTCTTTTCGTTTAACATTATTGGCGGAGGATGAAGAGGAGGACCACGAGGGGGCCACCATGATTGAGGGTGAACCGATGGAGGAAGAAAGAGAACTCAAAGGCTGCGACTTGGGAGGATGAGTTCACTCTAAAATAATCAATTTCTTTCATTCAGCCTTGGGGACAAGGCTGAGACTTCAAGTGGTGGTATTGTTAGAACTGAAATACAGGAACAAGTGTTAGATGTTGTACATAGGCATACGAGTTTACTCTAGAAGAAGGGGACCAGCTGTTAACACCAAAGGGACAGTTAATTAGTATAACAATTGTAATAATTGAGATATAAATAATTGTAAAACAAGTTGTTAGGGGATTCATTATTCTCTTCCTCGATTTGTTAGAAAAAGGAGAGTGTCTCTGTGGAGAGCACATTGCTCTTGGGATCTACGATATACATGTAACTGATTCGTCTCTTTGATAGTTCAATAAGAGAATTCAGTCTTTTTCTTTCAAGATTCCTCTCTTTTCTCTCTTGGGTCTTAGCAGATACCTCTTTTAAAACTGGCAGGACAAAAAAGGAAATACAATCACCAGAGCCTTGAAAGCATACATTTCATCAAATTCACAGAATAAGCACAGGCAAATTCAGCTGCAAAAATATTACCCAAAGTTCCCTCTGATATATAATCAAGATCCTCTACTTTCTCAAGTTTTTATTGCATTGAAAAATATTTAATATTTTATTATTATAAGAATACAATATCTAATATGCATGTCACAAAGCTGCTAGAATCCAAAATATGTTCAAAATCTGACATGCTAAAAACTGCAATGCCACTCATTTATGGGTCTTATCTATAGCTTTGAAAATCAGGCAGGGCTGGCCAGTTGAATAGCCTGAAGTGTACACTAGCCTGGTATTTAGTCCTGTTAACCCCACTACCCCAGAATGGTCAAACCAAACTGAACCAGCCAGTTCCATTAACCACTGAGCCATTTCAATGATGAACCAGGTCATTCAAGTACAAATAAAAATTTGAATGCTCAGGCTTATGAAACCAGATTGTCTTAAAAATGGTATCAAATATGTAAAGACATTATTGTTATGAAACCAAAAACAGAAATAAAATTATATACCTTTTCTTCTTCACGCTTGCGTTCCTTCTCTTTAGCTTTTTCCTTCAAGTATGTGATGTATTCCTCAAAAATTTCTCTACTATAGCTTTCATCCCCAATTGACCTGCAGGGCAGTAAAGGACAGGAAACATCAAGCAAAAAATTCCTCCATCATGAACACAGATTTTACTTGCAACAACTACTCAAGGTGTATAAAAACAAAAAAGAATACATATACCTGTACTCTTGAGCCTCCTCAAAAAGTGGCTTGCAATCCTCCCATTTTGAAGTTGTAGTAATATCCTACAAAAAAATAAAAAGATGCTAAAATTAATTTATTTAGCCAAATATATGAAACATATATCAGATGACAAGTAGAGTCTTAGTGTACCTTGAATGTATATAACAGGTTGGTAAAGTCATCCGCAAGGCGTTGGCGCTTCTTAGCTTCTTTCTCTTCTTTTTCCTTAGCTCTCTCTAACAACTCTTCAAATATAAGCTACAAAAGAGAAACAAAATATCAAATTCTGATAATCCAAGTTGCAAAGGCATAAAAAACATTAAATAGGTTTTGGTTAACAAACTTTCAATAGAGTATATATTTTAAATGTGTAACAAACTCAACAATAATAACTACTGATTTAATATTCTGTAATAAATTTAATTTTAAAAACCATTATCTTTTCTTGTTGATATATATTATCCGAGCTTACAAAATGTCAGCCTTCGATTTTCTATTGCAGTCAAAGTTAATTAGTCATGTCAAAATAAATAATAATAATTTCCCTGCCTTGTAATAAATAAACAGCTAAGATACCAAGAGAGTAACTGACACAATCAGTCATTTGATTAATTAATCATAAATTATATAATTTATATATTAGGAGCAAGAAATGAAATCATATGAAAGATAACAACAAAATACATTACCTTCAAATTGATCTCAGATATTGTTTGGCAAGCAGCTTCTTCCAAGACTGCTACCTTAAAGTCCTCAAATACTGAAGTAGTCACTACCGTGATCTACTTGAATGAGCAAGGAGCCATGGGTAAACAGAGTTTGTCATCAAACATATGCTACAGATAAAGTAAGCACAATAAAGAGTTATCCCTACCTTGCCTGACTTAATTGTATCTTTTACGAGTGTCTTGTCTCCATGATACTGTAAAAAAGAACCACGTTAAGAAATTAAAACAAGGGAGAATTCAGCAACCACTACAATGCTCTTGGTTCACAATACTCAAAAAATAGATATTATAATACTAACAACAATTTAGTATCCCATTACCTAACTCCAAGTCATCCAAGAAATATTATCCAGATATTAAATTTAAAATATAATAGCAATCTTAGTTTCTTCACATTATTTAAAATCAATTGCCATGAAGTCAACAAACAACAAACCCAAAAATAAATGGACAGAATTTACTCTTCCCTATTGTCTTGCCCAAATCCTCATAACTAAACATGTAGAACATGGTCCAAACAGGATTTTACCCACAGAGAGCATGTTGGCTGATGAAAGATTGCTTTTCAAGTAACACAAAACATCCAACACACTAGCACAGACTATAACAATATCCTTCTAGGTTCCAATAGCAATAAACATCTATAACAAATTATCAACATTTAATAGAAATTAGAAACAAAGATTTGATAACCTGTTTTTCAAGATCCTCAGCAACATCCTCAAATAAATCTTTTGGGGTGGAACCAGATATATTTGATGCAACAGCTTGATATTGAGGCAAATCCCTGACCTACACAGTAGAAACAAAAAAATTATTTCTTTTTTCCATGTTCTTCCAGCTTTCATTGTAACAAATCAAAGTTTTGCAACCTTCAAGCAATAGTCCCGCCATTGAGTTTTAGCATTAAGAATTCCAGCAGCAACATGTTCTTCTAGCAACTTGCGAAATGCATCACGATTTTTCCTTTCACCCCGACGGATTCGATCCTATGTAATAGACATAAAAAAATGCATACACGTTTGAACATGGACTGAAGTATAACTAATAATCATACACTTAGGTTTTACCTTCTGTATTCTTTTTTGTTCCTCTTCTTCTTTCTCCAAGTCCCGAATATAGTCCTGTCAAAGCCAATCTCTCAGCACATAGATCCATAATACATGACCAACCAAAAGAAAATATACCTGGAAAACTAGCAAGCGGTCAATTTTTTCAAGTCGCAAGTATCTATCATCATCCTCTAATCGATCTTGGATTTTTCGCCAATGACTATTCACCTAATTGAAATGAAAATATACTTGTTATACTTGAGAGAAAAGTTCAACAGCATGGCAACCATAACAACAGAAGTGCACTTCATTTTTAAAAAGTGTACCTTCACATAATCACAGGACTCCAGAAATTTCCTATATTGTGCTATATTACGCCGGTGTTCCTCTGCAGCATTTTCCTTTTCCTAAATTTTGCACAGAAAAGATAGCAGTAAGAATGGGCATGAAATAAATTTTGATACCCATCTATTTTAGCCATTTTGTTTTAGTTTATATTTTATTTTGCCAATCAACTTGGGAGTTCAGCTTACGAATGTGGCTTATCATGGGGGTCTCAAACTATTTTAGCTTTATGAATAAGGCTTATATAATTTGAGAATGGAAATGTAGTTAAGCAAACAAAGTTGAGTCATTGACTTATTGTTTGCTTGAGGGAGAAGAAACACTTTGACATTAAATTTTAGAATAAATAATCAAGTACACAATTTGTATCTAGCCAACTTTTCGAACTTCAACAATGTACTTCAACACTATATTCTATATCTCGCCTTTTGCTACTCAGAACTATAATTTCCATTCAAGAAAGCAATCAATCCTAACATAACATTTCACAATGAAATAGTTATTATTTGTCCATCTGTAGCCACTGAAATCTAGCACAAAAGTAAAGGTTCATCATTTTGCCAACCCCAACTACAATTTGAATACACACTAATTTGAACTTGAACAACACCAGAATTACAGGGAATAAATAAAAATAAAAAAGTGCCAATGCTCCATGAGAAAATTAAGGTTCCCAAATGTTTACCTGACCTATCAAGCTTTTGGAGTGGCTTTATAAAACATGTTGCCAAAGGCAAAATTAATGAAAATTAGGAAGAGATTTAGGAGAACCATGGAGACCAAGAATAGAAGCTCTAGGCAGTGAATACAATATAATCCAACTCCTTCCATTGATTATGTGAAAGAATAACACAAATCATAATGTAAATGCTACAATGTGACCATAGCATCCACTCACTTGCCACCACCGTCCAAATAAAAACGACATGCTTCCCAAAATTGACAAGGATGTAAAGTAAATTCACAGATCACTAAAGCAAAAGGTTTATGCATCCTCCTTGAGAACAAGATCTAGACAAAATGATATGTTATGCTTCCAAGCAAATGTTCATATGTAATCAACATGTAACATATAATCACCTTTCTCTCAAGTTCCACCATGTAGCTTTCAAATAAATCTTCCCGGTCTCTTGGTCTTTCAACAGCATTGAATCGTTCATCATTTTCAAACAAGCTTATAGCTTTGCTAATTACAGTAAATAATTAATTAGAAATTTCAAGACCAATTATTTCACCCTAAAGAGAGAAACTAAAAACAAATTCCAATCAACTAAGCAGAAATATACCTCCATCTCATGGATGATGTAAGTTCCTTGCACTCCTGAAAAGATAATGTGTAAAGACTAAAAAGTTAACTAATAAAGAACAAATTAATAAGGTATTCTATTTAACATACTTCCAACATCTTTGTGAATTCTTCACGGGCTCTTTTCTGCTTCATGCGCCTCTCTTCGGCCTCTAGCTTCTTCCTTTGGCCCAAATACTGAACAGATGATTAAATTTATTCAACATTACAAAGCCAAATGGAGTCATTAACATAGAAACTGATATAAAACTAGACCATGCCACTTAATTAGTTAACTCGATGCAAACTGGAGTATCCAGTTCATGGAATTACTCGCATGTGCTAAGTGAAGTCTGTTTCTCACCACATTAAAAGCTTGTTTTCGCTCACCAAGTGTTTTTAGGGCATTATATCTTTTGTCATTGATGATTTCTCTCATTGTCTGAAATACAATTTAAAAAAATAATAGTTAGCCTTGAAGCACAAAAGAAGGTAGAAAAAAAAAATTAAGGGTACACAACCAACTACCTGTTCCCATGTCCAATCAGACTGAACATTCACAGATTCCAAAAGCGCTTTAAATGCATTTTTTGCTTCCTAAAAGAGCAATTTAATGTTGAATTATAAATATAATAGATATAATAATAGAAAAGAAGGGTGCACTACCTTCCTAGATTTTTAATAAAGGAGATTTCCCATAGCATAAAGAACTCTTACCAGCTTATTTGCATATACCAAATTTTCATCATCATTGATTTTCTCCTCAGGTGGAGTCACATTATTTTTACCAACCACAGGCAATCCTCTATTCATTTCCTGCAAGAGTTGCAAGAAAACTTATGAAATACAGGTTCTTACTTGGATAGAACATTGAAGATTCATCCAGGAATTTTCTATTCTCAATTGCTTCTTGATTTTTTGAAGTATATAAACAGCACTTGGCACAATCTTGCCTACAAAATATTCACTTCTAATGAAAACTAGAATTTCTATTGGCATGTTACCCTACTATAGTGGTTGGGTCCATTTTCAACAACAGCTTAATTTTTTAGGAAGTAGTATTCTATTTCATCATGTATCTGTTTTGCATAATTATCAATTCCTTTGTTCATGACATGTAGACTATTGTAACTTGTAAGTGCATGAATATTTATGTTAGGCTAAATATACACAGAAGGTGCCAGTGTTTCCAAACAGGCCAAACTTTTGGAAAAGATAAAATTAAAAAATACCTCACTATCTTGAAAAGAAGCTCCATTGACAGAAGCAAAATCCTGAGATGCTTGATTTTCAACACTGCACATAAATTTTCAATACCTAAGTTCGAAGTTAGACTACAACCTGACTATGAGAGGGAGTAAAAATGAACACAGAACATAGTTTTATACGTGGGTGGCATTTTAGAATCAAGTGAATTTGCAGCTACTCCTGGGCTTCCTGCCACTATTGTAGGTGTCATGCTCATAGTTGGCACAGTGCTTGGTTCAACTCCAGTGGTGCTTGAAGAAACTACAGAGTAAGAAACAGAGGTCCCTGATAACCCAGAAACCGACTGCTGAGAATCAGTTGCTGCAACTGGTGTGACAGAAGATGGGCTGGAAGCAAGCGCATTTGATGTCAAAGATGTGTTCAAGGTAGCTGCATTAGCTGCTGTTGATGTAGCAGCAGAGGACACAGCAGCATTGGATGCATCACTTGTTTCAGACTGCATCCCCTGGTTAACAGCTTTGTGTGCCTGTTCCCGAGCCAACTGAATGGAAATATTGCAATTTGTCGTAAGAAATCAGGTGCTCTGGAGCAAAAAATGAAAAAACCGCAAACATAATCATTAATGACAACCTTAAGTTCCTCTGGTATTGACCATGTTGATTGCTGAGTAACCTTGTTGTAATAATACCTGCAAGAAGTCACGGCCAAAATGTAAAATCTTACATCAGTTATTATAAATAAACGACACAGAGAGGATGCAGAAGAAGCTGCAGTGTATAGATTTTGTGAATAAAATTATACAACATAGAAGAGAAAACGCACTTTCTTCCTTCTGAAGAAGTAAATTCTTTCCAAACAGTTGATGCATCTGCCCTCTGTCACATCCAGCAGAATTAGTGGGATTTGAAAATGCTAAAAGTATACCACCCAAGAAAGATCATCATATAAAGGTTATAACAACTAACCAGAAGCTGCTTCAAGAAACTAAAGGTAAGCATTAAACAAATATAGGAAAGAAGATAGCATCCCTGGAAGTTAATTGTTTGTATGATAATACTGGCAAAAACTACTTAGTTATGAGAAATTATACACTAAACCAGAATTTGTATATTCTTCCTACACATAAATATGTAATCATAGCCCACTACATTGTATAAAGCACTGAAACAAGTTCATAAAAGGGGTAAAGAAACAAAGAGATGGAGAAAGGAAAAGGAAAGAAAGATAAGCATACATAGACACAATCACAAACATTTTGTGTTTTGTGTGCAGGGAAAGCAAAGAAACTTACAAAGGAGACAATGGATATCACACATAACACCCTATAAAGATCACCCAACAAAACTGCAGGAGGAAGGGAATGGGAAGGGTTCAGTCAACCATCAATTGATGGTATTACAGAACCATAATAACTATACACCAATCTCACATTTTATGTTTAAAAAAATTGTAAATAGCAAACTGTTGCCTGCCTTGAGAAAGTGCTACCCGCCTTCACAGTGACCATATAGAGCAGTTGTTAAAATTTCTCCTGACTTGCCATGGTATCTACAAATCAGTCGAAGCACATGCACATAAAAGGATATTCGCACCATAAACCTTTTATGATCATTGAAAACATTGAAGAAATGATCAACATCCATATAAGATACCAGTTCGATCAACCACATAACATTTTCAAAGCATATCCAACAGATAATTAAAAATGGCATTCAAATTTTAGGAACAGCAACAAATTATCAAAAGATTCAAAACAACAAACCTCAATCGGTGACATCAATTCCAAAGGTTTCTCCCAACTTGATTGCCTTGTCCTCTTATTGTAGTAATATCTGGTTAAATTGACAAGAGACCAAAGCATTGCCCTCATGATTCAAAATAATGTGAATTACAAAAGCACTAGCTACTTTCGCAAATAGTTAATAACAAATTGTATAAAGTATTTAGTGTTTGCTAGCAAAGCTGAACATAATTACGTTAACCAATACCTTCTCCCATCAGCAGAAGTATGCTCTTGCCAATCAGATAAAGAGGGCTGGCTAGTAGCATTACTTGCCTAAAATTTTACAAAGAAAAAAATACTGAGAATTGTAATACTATATAAGCTCAAATTTCTCAGAAATAATAATATAACAGCAGAAGAATCTTTTTTCTAAAATAGAAGCAATGTAATTCATTGAATCACATGTATTGTACGGAATTATCAAAACCTTTGTGAGCTATTAAGATTCAATTAGCTATTCTCTTAAGGAATCTGCCTCAAATGACATCATAACAAGAAAGTCACCAATTCTTTTACAGTAACATACCACCAAAATATATGCAATACCACTTAACAATATTTCCTCATGCACCTCATTAAAATTAAAAGATTAAACACATCATTTCTAATTCATACTATTATATTTAGACAATCCAGAGTTCAAAGGCACTAAATAAGTATCACATCGGCAGATTTTCTTAACCTCCATAAAATCAAGCAACATACAGATACAGAAAACTGAATAAAAATATTCCTATTAGTTTGTTTACATTAAACCACAAAGGACAAACACCCTCATGGAGAAAAAAATCATATAACACTGACACAAGAGAATCATCGTCCTATTGGAGTGTATTGATGTCAATGTCATACGATACAAGTAATAATTAAAAATCAAAAACCATAAAAAAGGAAAGAAAGAAACTTTGCCATAGAAATTCCAAACAAACATTATCATATATCACACTTTGTCTAAACAAGAACATTTGAAATAGAAATTTCTAAAGAATGAATTTAAGAGGAGTAATACACATGAATCTAAGTATGGATAAAACACTTACCGCATCAGTTGATGTAGTACTAGATGATTGTACTCCAGCTGGCGGCACTGATGTAACAGCGCTAGCACTCTGAGATACAGAGGACAACCAAGGTTGTGCAGCAGAAGGTGCCAGCATTTGAGGTGGATGCTGGTATTGAGCCATTGGATTCACATTATCTTGTTGCTGACCATATGATGGTGTGAACTGAAAATGTATATAATGATGTGATAGTGTAAAACGTACTACATAACTCAGAGAAATCTAGTAATCAACTAAAACAGGAATAATACAAAAAATAAGGCAAGCCGTACAGTGTATGAAGAATGAGGAGCTGCTCCTGAAACAGCCAAGCCAGGCATATGATTGCTTAAGGGGGGAACAGTCTGCTGTGAATGTGGAGGTACAGATGTCAGTGACCTGTTTGTCTGAATATAAGGCATAGGTATAGCTTGTGATGAAGGAGCAGGATGACCAGGCTGCATTGGTCTCGGATTCAATTGTTGCATTGGTTGAGAATACTGCAATTGCTGACCCTGAACAACAGGCATTCCCATATTTGAAGAAGGAATAGCATGTCCTGCCGGTCCAAATTGTTGTGAAGTCATCGGAACAAACGGTTGCCCATGTTGAGCTTGAATGACTGGCCGAAACTGCAGATGAAAAGATGTAAGAGTGATTGCAAAATTATAATAGATTCTTATTCCAGAACAAGAAGCAGTAATTAATAACATGAACAGGTAAAAGAATCAGTTGCATAAATAAGGGTGAACCAAAGCTTTGAGGACCCAACAATCAAACAGCTGGAAGCCAAACAGGCTAGACATTATTATATACATATGCATGTATACACACAAACAGAGAGAGAGAGAGAGATATAAACAAAAGATGTTGAATATTAGACACTAACTATTCTTCATATCAACATTTAATAGTTATCATAATCAACATTCTACAATCAAAACAAGTTCCTAGACAAAGATTGCATTGTCACAAGATTCTTGCTTAGTATTGAGAAAGAAACATGTTACCTGCATACTGGAGGGCTGAGAATTATTCGCCATTTCACTTAAATGGTTACTGCAAAGTGAAAATAAATGCATCAGTAAGCACAAAAAACAATTGCATCCTAATGATTTATCATACTGCTAAATCATAATGTATTTGTGTTACATGGTAAAAAGCATGCAGACTAAATGAATATTTCCAGACAACATAGGATTTTACACCTTTATAACTTTGCTTCTGTTACATGATGATGTTAAAATTAAACTCCCCATCAAGGTAAAGAAATATGTGTATACACATTGAAAATTCATATGTTCTTGAATTGTAATTATTACTGTTTTGACTAAAAAAGAAAGAGAAGACTGAAGGCAGTCATTAGGAAAACAGAATAGTTAGCTCTACCTACATATAGCTATGCAAAGTACCATACTAATAACTGATTTGTGCCATCTCATGTTCAACCTAGATGGATTAGGTCCATCACTGTCATGAACCTGCAATCCCAAAGCTTAAGCTTAAGCTATTATATTTCTAACAAACCCCCACACTTGAAGCATAGGTAATGCCTAGACCCACTTACTTTTCTGAAATTCTATTTTTTATTAGAAGAACGAGGACAAGAAGAATTGAACTCTAGATCACTTGGTCATTGAGGCTTTGTTACCATGTCATGAATCCACATTCCACATTAAACAGTCCCAACACCCAATAACTTCAGCTATTTCGTGAAGACACGTGAATGGTTTTATATTGAGTCTCTAACAGAAACCATAACAATTTGTTTTTCGGTTTATTTCATCCAAACACAGCTACATCCCCCTTACTAAATAATCGATACCTTATTCAAGTCCGACGAAAAATAATACCAACATCGACTACAATAATAAATAAAAAAGTTTAAAAAAATAGTAAACAACTGCACAATTACTGTTCTAGTATATCAGGCACGCTTCATGTAAAACGTTACAAATTCTAAACTGAACCAGGAATTTAATAAAATTTAAAAAAAGAACGAAACGAACAATCAGTTTTTACAATGTCCCTAACCACTCCGCACAGATCTCGAACACTACACAATTTGCTTTGTATACTCTATCTATCAAACACCAACTGAAAATAGCAGGATATAATTCATTCATAGGAAAATACGAGAATAAAAAAAATCAGAAGACGCTCTTCAATTTCTGGATTTTCCAATTCCGGAAGAACCTTAACCTAAGACGTTGCAAATCTAAATGAATAGCATCTTAACTTAATTGAGATTTATTTCCTCTCAATAAATCGCTAGTGCGAGCAACCGAAGAATTAACAAAACGACGACGCAATTGGTGTATGAATAGGGATAAATAACTTACAGAAAATGCAAACGAGAACCAAGGGTGGAAGCTATTCGTCTCGCTGAGTTCACAGAATCTCTTTGTTGTAGTTTCGAATCGAAACACAATGTGCTAGGGTTTAAGAGGGTTTGCAGCACATGACATAACTGGGAAAACGCACTGTAGAAGAGTGGACAAATTGGGGAAGTAGAATGATATAAAAAGCACCTATCTTGCGTTTATGGAAATTTATTTAATGTTTACGCTTGATGTCATTGGCCAGCGCGTTCCATATTTAATGTAAATGATTATAAAAATAACTTATAATTTTTTTAAATTTGTGTTAATAAGCTTTTTATATGATTTATCGAAGTAAACTTACTTCAATTTATATAAATGAATTTTATATTTCAATTTATATACAAATTTAATAATAATTTATTAAATAAACACTTAATCAAAATATAATACAAATATAATATAAATATGATGAAACTTGATCTATTTTTTAGTGTTTGAATCGTTTATTTATTATGAATTTATCACATTATTAGCTGTAAAATATATAACGATATTTTAAAATGTAAGGTGATTGTTGAAGCTCATTCTAATATCTTACAGGGTTATGATAACGATAAACAAGGATGTAAGAGAGTTTTAATTAAGAGGTACAGTCTCTCAAGCAACTAAGCAACAAAAATTATTAAATAAAACCAATAAAATGAAGAATTCCAAAAAATAGAATAATTTTGTAAAATTATTTTTAAAAAATAAATCAAATATACTCTTAATATCTCATATTATATAATTTAATTAACAATTTAATCCTTAAAAATAAAAAAATTACACGTTCTAACTTTATTATCAAATTTCAATTTAATTAATTATAAATAAATCTTATTTTATTATAAATTTATGCGTAAATAATTTTTTATCTTTTTATTTCTCTTTAAATATTTTTATTTTTTTTAATAAAATCACTTATTTTTTAATTTTTTATTTTATTTAATAAGTGAAGCATAAAATAAACATTCTTATTTTTTAAACCACGTAAAAGAAGTTAATAGCTAATATCTTAACATTTTATATTACATGACTAATTTTTTTTATTACTTCAATTATGTTTTTCATCTTCGACTAAGAGCCTATTTGTATTGCAAACTATAAAAAAATATTTAAGCTATTTTTGTAAGTTTGAAGGGGAAGAGAAAAGAAAAGGCTTGAAAAGATAAGAAAAAAATGGACGAAAGTAAAATAGGTTAAACACTTTCCTTATTTTAATATTTAATATTGAGAGAGGAGAGTGATATAAGATTTAATTATATAAATAATATTATTATATTATATATATATATTTTACAAATAAAATAAATATTTTTTTTAAAAAATTAATAATTTTAAAAAATAAGTTAGAATATGTGAAAGAGTACAAGAGTGAGAGAAAAAACTTTTAAATTAGAGAATTTAAAAAATTAGTGTTAAGAGAGCTTTAAAAGATTTAAAAAAATTTCAAAATTTTTTCTTTTTAATTAAACAACTCTCAAATAAATGTTAACTTTTTTTAACCATTTTTTTTTCTTTTTAAACTTAACTCTCAAACATAGCTTTGATATTTTACGGTTTTAAAACTATGGATTTTATTATTTCTTAAGTGAAATTAATTTTGTAGGTATTTATGAATTTATTTTATATTTTTGTACAAAAATTGTTTTTTTTTGTTTTTGTTTTTTGAATGCAATTAATTATTTTGCTAATAATGGATAATTACTTGATGAGTTCATCTTCAGCAAAGGGACTATAGAGTAATTGATTTTTAAAGTGTTTTGAAAATGCTCTTTACAAGTATTAGAATAAATTTTTATTGGGACAAAATTTATACGTTATTTTTTAGATGTAATTTGTGTTATTTATTTATTAAAATTATAGCTTTTAATAAAAATTATATTTGATATTTTTACATATAACCGGTGTAAAACTTTAATTTTAATCGAAAAATAACATAAAAAAACACTTTACAACATCTAGTCATATAGTATAACAGAGAAAATGAATGTACTGACTTTTATTCCTTTTTTATGATTTGGGATAGAAGTCATGGGTCAGCGGAAGAGAAATTGTGTCGAAGATGGGAAATATAGATAGTTCTATACAGAACTTATATAGGCTATTATAGTATTTTAGGCTTATTGAATAGCATTAATGGTAGGAGTACTCTCCACTCTCTATCCCCATTTTTCAACATTTCTCTCATTCGCGTAATCCACTTTATGCATGTTTGGTTTGACTTAAATGCCTAAATAAAAAATAGAGACGATAAATATGAATGGCATTAATGGCGAGAGTACTCTTTCACTTTATCCCTGCATTCTAACTTTTCTCCCCTCCCTATCTCTACTTTTATATTACAATTTGGTGATATGACTAAAATTTTCTGAGTGGGTAGTTTGATTATATACTTAAATAAAAATTAAGAAAGTAAATATGAATGATATTATTGAATGGAATTAATGACAGGAGTCGTGCACACACACTCTCTCTCTGCAGTCCAACTTTTCTCTCACCCCCATCTTTATTTTAACAGCTTTACCTTTGTCATGACTCCAATCTCATTATAATTTGGTAATATGATTAGGGTTTTGCGCCTTGGTGGTTTGACTTAAATCCCTCAAAGTGAAAATGAGAAAGCGAAATTATTGACTCGAAAAATAATATTCAGAAGTGACAAAAAATAGTGAAGACAAATGAATAAAAATGTAATATATAAATCCCAAATGAAGTAGTGCCTATGTAAATCACTAAATTCAAAGAAAAATTACCCTTTCATTTGACCTTTCCCTTTTAAAATGTTATAGGTAATTCAATCGCTCTCCTTCTTATTACCATATCAATGGTAATTGTCCTGCAGTTCATTCATGATCATGGTGTATCTTGGTCCCCTTAAGTATATATAAGAGAGTTGAGGTGATGTATTTCTCTGAAGGCCTTTTATATTTGTTCCATCACATAATTCTATGATATAAATGTTAAGATACATCATCACTCACATGGCCCGCTGAAACGACAATAAGAATAACAAGTCGTTACTTAAGAATAATTGGAATTACATGTTACAGTGAATTGTGAAATAAATTCTACAAGTTTATTAAATACAACTCTGCCAGTATGCAACCATACAAGTTTTACCATTAAATTTAAAAGTAAAGTATCCCCACAACCAGTGTTTATATAGTATTTTAGGTGATAGATACCCTTTGTAAAGTCATACACAGATTTGTGGCTGCTCAATTAACATATTCACTATCTTTGATTTCTAGTCAACAACTAATAGTGAAATTCATGGCTATCAGCAGCATAAGGATCAGCTAACCATCATTCCCTCAATCAAAAAACAGAAACCATACTAAACAGCTGCAAAATCATTCACATACATTTTTTTTTCTCACTCCCATTATACTAGACTTTGTTTGACTTGTACAGGAATCTCCTCAATAGAACAATCAAGAAATTAAAGCATATCAATCTTTATCTAAGTGAGAAATCCTGACCAAATTATTGTCACGAACGGTGCAAGATTGCTTACATAAGAAAAAAGACAGGCTCCTCCTTAACCTGGACTCAATACCATTTTTGTTCAACATTTTGATCACCTTAGCACTTTTCTGATTCTTGGTGCACTCTTTGTAAGCTGCTAAGAAAGGATCATTATCTTGAACCCAGAGGCCCCTCTTGGAGGAAGTTCTATAATAAGGAGGCTGAAAAGCACAAGGAGGAAGTGGAATTTGGAAATCATGAACAGGATTTCTGGCTATAGCTAGTTCTTTTGTGCAAGGAGGGGGTGGCAACTTGGCCAAAAACTCTTGTGCTTTTGGGATCAGATTTTCACCATGAGTAGTTGTTTCTTTGGACACACCAGGCTTCTTTTCCCATGAGAAGGATATCTTTCTTCCTGAATGATCTCCTCGTTGACTCATCCTCTCAGAGTTTTATTTGATGGAATCAAGACAAGACCTTATACATATATGTGACTTGAGGTGGTGAAGTATATGTATATATATATGACATATATAATGAAAATATTTTTCATTTTAAAACGTTAAGAGTAATAAAACTAGACCATAAAATAACATAAATGATAAAAATTAGTTAATAATTACATGACTATTTTAAAAAGTTCTTATATTTATATATTATCAATGTTCTTATTTGTAATTACAATTAAGAGTGTGTTTAAATAAGTATTTATTTAATAACCCCTTTTATACGAAAGTCTATCTTATAAATTTGATAGTATAACTTCTTAGAATAAGTCAAAAAGAAATTATTATAATAAGTTATGCTAAAAATATATACAAATAAACTAAAAAAAGTATAAAAGCTAGATATTTTCATAAGAGTTATTTTACACACACATATATGTTCTACCACGTATCTAAATAGCATCAAGTCTCAATGGACAAGCACATAAAACGTAAGTATGGACAATTTTACTATTGGCATTTGAAATCAATTTGGAAAAAAAAGACACGAGTTGGGAAAAGAAGACCGATTTCACGCGGGTTTGCATAAGAAGACAATAGCGAGGAGTTAGAGGAGTATAAGACAAACCTATCGTGATTGACTTGGTTCCTCCTCTGTCCTTAATTTTTAGCTTAGATCAGCTCAAAACATTTTTTTCAAAAAGCATCAAATTTCATAATTATGTCGAAATTGTTAGGAGTTTAACAAATTGAATTGATATCGTTTTAATTAGATTGCATCAACCCTTTTTTTTTTTATTTTGCAAAGGCAGGTCCATATTTCTGTAAAATCATGCTGGGGTAAATGAGATCATCAAAGAGAAATGTTGAGTCAGTTAGCTACGTGTCATTCTCATTATGGAATTCTACTGCGAATATTGATTTTGGTTTGGACCGTTTACTAGATAGCAGCCAACAATCGTGTGCGCATTTGATTAGCTCTATCTGAATCAAAACAAGACATGGACTCATAGCAGGCCGCAGATATAAATTATAATAATAATAATAATAATAATAAGTGGACAAAATTTAATCATTTTTAATATGAGGCTACAGAAAAAAAAGTAGTCATTTCTTCCTTGTTTTTTTTTCACCAATCCTTTTCTATAGTTTTCACAAAAGAACTGCCATACTTAAATTGTCATATGATATACACATAAAGACAACCCCCCAAAAAAAATCTACAACAATAACTAATTCAGGATATTAATTACAACACCAATAGAGAAAGAGATCAATTACATGAATCATAAGATAATTCAGTCAAAATTCATACTCTTAGAGATAATTCAAGATATTAATCATCTCAAATTTTTTTCTACACTCACATCTTATAGGTATGAACAACTTTGCGACTACAAACATCACCATAGTGCTTGCATGAAAGAATATGCATGCACTTCTTTATGCTAGACCAAGATCCATTGTTTTTGGGGACCCTTCTTGACCTTTGAAGCATAAAGGGGCTTTTGGTGCATTTCTTGTAAGCTTCAACAAAAGGGTCTTCTATCTTCTGACTTTCCACCCGAAAGGAGCTAATTCTAAGTGATGGTTGAAGAGCACATAGACCAAGAACAATTTGTGCATCCTCCACTTTGTGTCTATGATCACTTCTAGATCCAGCCCCAAATGATGCTGAACATGGAGGAGGTTGAAGCACCAATTTAGTGCCATTGTGGGCATGAGTGATTTTGGAGAGACCAGGCTTGTGTTCCCATGAGAAAGGAACATTTATAGACCCTTCACAATAAACATCATTATTACAGGCATAGCTGCAAATGTTGCACTTGGTGTGTTCCATGGTGATGATGATGGAGTTGTTGCTTGCAACATACAAGTACTCTCTCTAGGTTCTTATTAATTAATAAAGGGGCTATGCTATATCACGTGTTATGTTATTAATAATAATCATAATAACGGCTAATCTAAATTCTGGTGAAGAGGAGTTATAGCTTGTAGATTAATCTACAGTGAGAAGACAAACATTGAAACATACAAGTCCCATAGGTTGTTATAATAATCGTTAAGCTAATTATGATTGGAACTTGGAAGCGTAGAAATGGGACCTGATGTCATGTTATGTTTATTAACCGTGACCGACAGAAGTACAATATGCCACAAACTTAGGGTTGAAAATCATACCAAAACATCGTTTTCTTGATATTAATTCTAAATTCACCTGTCAGTTCCGTATAATAATCTGCTTAAGGTGATTTTACGAATATATTTTTTCAGGTTATTCATTTATACAATGTGTTTTATTCATTTATCTTTTATTAGTTGTCTTACAAATTTAAGGTAAATATAAACTTTTTCAAGAATATACTAATATTAAAAAGTTTATTACATGGTATGTGAAAAAGGATGTTTGCCTGTATTTTTCTAATCATTTAATATCTTTAAGTATTAAATTAGTCTTTATTAATATTTTAAATAAAATATTTAAAACATTTATAGTAGAATACGATGTTATATTTTCTTCAATCAATATCAAGGGTATTCTCTGTTTATATTTTATTTTCTCATTTGCTCCAAATTAAATCATTTTTATGTTCTCTTTTTCTCTCACCCTCAATGTTTTTTAATTTTCGTTATAGTTCAAACGACTTGCAATAACCACAAGTACCATAAACACTTTGGTAATATATCGAATTCAATATTTAGGCACCAGAATGATTAGCTCCTCAATTCCCCCATGCCAAGGGAACTTTTTGTTTCCTTCTGGGTACTATCGTAACTAACGTGTAATCAGGTGCACTCATATTACTTGTGTCAAAGAAAAACAGATAAATCGATGAGTTTAAATGTATTATAATATAAAAAAAATAAATTGTTAATTAATTAAAATATATATTATGTTTTATTTTATTTTATTTTATTTTATTTTTTCATTACAAACAGTAATGGCGACTTACACGTACACATTTCTTTCATTGCTAGAGTGTTTGTTTAAGAGCTGAAAGGTTTGTTAAAGAGTAATTTTCTAATTGAAAGACAGTGACAGATGTTGATTATTTTGGAGTAAGCTACATGGCATTTGCATTAGGTAGCTTGCTTCATCAAGGAACATTATGCCTTGTATTTATATACTCATAATTCACCTCTGCAAAGCTATACACGTACCTACGTTATGCTGTAATTGTCAAAGTGCTATACTAATTTTTATTTATATAAAATATTTTAATAAAAATGCCTCTATTTTGTGCATCAAGTCTTATGATACACAAATTAAAATATTTAATTTTACTGAAATATTTATTAAAAAACTATAACTCAATCTTTTTTCTTAGAACAAATTATGAGATAAATCTTATAAACACCGTTATTAAAGGACTTGTATGCACTAATATATTATGTTCACTGTGTCACTATTCAAATCTTTACACTCAAGCATATAATAACTTTATTACATGTTTGATGATAATAAAATCCACGGATACATATTGTAAACACGCAACTGATAATGCACAGGTTCCAATCTTTTGCTCGGTAGTGGAAGATAGTCACGATGAAACAGTAAATTCCACCTTGTGTCGTTGTCTTTACTTGACAAATTTTTGTGCTAGCAATGTTCAACCCACTTGTGAAGGAGTGCTGCTGTCTGTGGTGAAGTAGAAAGTTCATGTGGAGCAAGTATTATTTATTTATATTCTGATAATGCTATTTTGAATGCGGCATTGTTGACCGAGGATAGTGCTTGTGGCATTTAGATGATTACCACATATGTTGAGTGTGTTTTCAGGGTGCCACAAGGAAGAAAAGAAAGGCTCCACTTGGTTTAGGAGATAGAGGAGCAAAATCATGTCCACCAAGAGACAAAAGTATGCAATGTGTTAAACGAATGGTTCATGGAGTGCTCTTACATATACTGCAATGACTAAATAAATCAACCAATGGCAACATGGTTTCGACCAGAAGACCAGAACATGAAAATAAATATGGCCTAGAATTAATCTCTAGCTTTTGACTGAGGGATCTTTGATGCACACTAAAAAATAATTAGAAAAAGTTTATATCTAGTATTTTAGATTTTTGGGGTTAAATACATAAAAATTCGTCGTGGTTTTATCTAATATTCAAATTCATTTTATGTAGTTTAAAAATTTTAGATTTTAACTTTCTATAATTTTGAATAAATTATAACCAAATAAAAAATATTTAAATTAATATTTTAACTATAAGACAGAATTACCTGCATTGTTATGTTTTAAAGTTTTTTAATCTGTTATTTCAACAATTAAAAATATAAACAAAGAGTGGATCATAAAGAACATTGCTTAAACAAAACTCTGAGCTTTAAAAAAAAGTAAAAAGAAAAAATTCCATCAAGAAAGAGGTGATTTTATTTTGCTACAGAGGTAAGATAATCAAGCAATATAAGGGCGATTAGATCTTTTTTCTCTCTCTCTTAAAGAAGAGTAGTTCTGTATTTAAACATTAAATAAACTAGAGGAAGTTATTTTGGTATTTAATATATATATTTTTTGATTAAAATCACAGTTTGTATGTATTTTATATGATAAAAGTCAATATTAAATATTTGTAATATTTATTGATATTAATATTCAATTTTTATTTAAAAATAATATAAAAACAAACAAGATATTATACTTTTATTTATTGTCGCAACCGTGCGATCGCAACGGTACGACGGATGACAAACTTGTTCTAAAATATCAGAGGAGTCGCCACCAAAGTTTATTTTTAAGAAAAACTTTGGAAAAACTTAAATATAATACGATCTTTGAAACCAAAAAATGAGTTCGGGAGTCATTTACGTGTAGGGAAGGTATTAGCACCCTACAACGTCCGTTTAAAAAACGATTACCTAAAATTAATTGTACAAAATTATTCTAATTTTGAAAAATATTTATTTAACCCCTAAATATTAATTATTTTATTTTAGAAGAAGAAATATTATTTATTGAAATATTATTCGGGTTATTTTAAAAATTATTTTGACTTGACGGGTACGGTTCCCGCTCCTACGTATCCCCGGATGCAATGGGG